TCCTCTTGTAGTACAAAAGAAGCCATAGGCCGTGCATAAAGAAATAGGTATGACTGTATTCCAATAAAACTTTACTTACAAAAACAGAAAGTGGGACAAAGTGGGCCCACAGACCACAGTGTGCCAACGCCTGCAATAGACCTTTTTGTTCACAGCTATAGTCCAGGTATACCTAGAAGTAAGCGTGGTGTATATAAGATGCTGAACAAATATATGTTGAATGAACAAGTAAATAAATGAATAGCAATAGGACAACACGCAAATTAAAATCAACAGTAAAATATATAAAATTGGTCAAACTCACACGATGAAAGAGGGACAAATTAAAATCATGACGTAACAATTTCTTACTCTCAAATTCACAAGGCATGTTTGTTTCTTTAATGATAATTCATAGGTTTGGTAACAATATAGGCTCATGCATATCCTCACATGCTGCTGGTAGGCTTTTTCACTCTTTTGTCCTTAGTTACAAACATAGAGAAAAGTGTCGAAAATAATATAACAGATTTGTACATCTTCTCCCTCCACGGAGAGTTTTCAAATTGGTTGGGTTCATTCTTAAAAGTTATTGAGAACTCCAAAGGATTTTTGTCAGTTAATATTTAGAATGTTTACCTCATTAGAAATTAAAACAGAAAATTTTAAATATTTGTAATTCACTTAAAAGAGCAATAATAAACTCTTTACATGTCAACATAAGTAATATTTTTATGACAACTACATTTTCCAAGGAAAAAAGTTACTGAGAGGTGTGGCATCATTTTGCATTTTTGCAAATCTCTTTAATGTCTTGCCTAAAGACATCAACCGGATTCTTGTACCTGCCTCTGATTTCATTGTGTTGTGCTATGCTTTCTTTCTGAAGAATATGAAGAAAATCAATCTTTAAGCCGTTACGTAGTTGGGAAAGGGAAGGGTATTTTAATAGCCTTTTGTGATAACCACAAATTCTGCTTTGATAGTATACCAAAAAATGCAATGAGCGGTAGTTTCTAAACAGGCAGTTGATATGTGTAATCTAAACCCATTATCACTGAACTTTTTGTACTTTATTACATTAAAATCTATTCATTTATCTTGCACTTGAAGTGGCTCTTTTTCCCATTCATGGTCTTGTAACATCACTCACTGACCACTTAGAAAATAGTTGTTTGCTGGGTAATGCACATCTTGCAGATGTAGTTATATTTTGTTATACAGTATTCAAGATTCCATTTACTACATCTCCGATGATCTCAGAGAAGTCTTTAGGTATTAGGAATCTGTCAAGCACTCAATGGTGGATATAAGTTTTCCAAAATTCTATTTTTCATTTGAAAGGAGAAAATCTTATCGTTAACAAAAAAATACTGTCAGTCATTTTCTTTGAAGTAGCAGGCTCTTCATCCACTGTTGAGAAAAAGTCAGCCAAACACCCAAGTCTAAATAACCATAAGTTGCCTCTTAACCTTTCAAGCAAAAATGATGTTCTATGAAGAAAGCAGGTAGTTCAGTTCACAATTCAATGATCATACTTTCACATGCAACAGAAGTGCTGTATTCACACTATTTTGTCACTCAGTATTTTATTTAAAAAGTGCCCAAGTGTTGAGATTTAATTAATTCATCTTTATTGCCTCATTAAGGACAATCTTGAGTGAAGCCGGCTTGTTTGGTTTTGGTAAGCCTGAAGTGTGCACCGTGTGGCTACTCACACATTTGATGCTGGTGCCTTCATCCAGGCCAAGTTGCCAGTTCCATCCACCACTGGTTTTGCACCTTCAGTGCAAATATCAACCTGGTGGAAAAGACAAATAATTTTAAAATTTTACATAAATAATTCCTTTCGGTATGTATGCTTTGACCAAGATTTTTTCCTGGTAACGTTATGCCATTATGTTTTTGAGATAGATGTAGACTGATAGAGATAGATCCAGTTCATATATTTTAACTGGTGTATTATATTTGTCTCTTTGTTCCTCTGTTGATAGATATTTAGATGATTTTAAACTTTTACTATCGTGAAAGAGTCACTCTAGGTTGTATTCCATCATGTGGACTTCCCAGGTCTAAAAGTAGGCATATACTGAGTTTTCCACATCTAGATTGCCAAATTGTCTTTAACATGGCTTTGCCCATTTACAAGCTAGTATGATTCTTAACTGGTACTCTTTTTCTAGGGCCAGTTTGGCAATGTGTGTTGAGCACTCCAAGGGAAGACCAGTTTTGAACCAGAAATTCCAATTCTAAGACTTGACCGTGAGGGTCATTTGTCCAGGAATGAGTACAAAAATATTTTTTTTACAAAGTTGCTTATGAGTATTTATAAAGCAGAAAATCTAGACTAAAGCTTCTAGATGCTTAATAATAGGTGACAAGTTAAAAATATACTGTGGTACCACTTGATGTATATTATGTAATCATTTTATATCCTAATTTTGTTTAATCAATATTTCTTATTTTATATAACTGTCAAAATGAGTGATGGAAGTACAGGTAATTGTTTCTTTTCCTCTTTGTGTGTATGTTTTTAAAATTATCTTGTGTTATTGAGAATATATTAGTACAGAAGGAAAGGGGAGGGAGGACAGACAGATGGATTAGAGCATGATGTACTTTGAAACCTCATCCCAAACTAAGTTTCAAGTGAGGCCAAACAAGTAGAATAATAGTAGAACAAATTTGACACAGCATAGGATCGATTTTTAAAGCCTCCTACAAGCCCCAGAGATTTTGGTTTGGTGGGTCTGAGGATCACTGAATCCCTGAAATGCATAAACCTCACACCTTAAGAAATACTAATTGAGAAGCCGTAGCTAATTCCATCTGACTTGCCTGCATTGATGAAAAATAAGGAGTCTTGTCATTATTAATATCTGGCAGGCAGAAGAGGCAAGCAGTGCCTGGGCGGGGAGGGGGGAGCCGGGTTCTGGTGGTGCCTCTCCTCTTGGAGGCTGGAAGCTGAAGGCAGGAGCTTCTGCAGCCACATCCTGGGGCAGGAAAGAGCTCTCTTTACTGCAGACCTGCCCCAGACTTTGCTTTCTTCTCCTTGGCGTTGGCAGCCTGCCCTGAAGCAGACAAGGTCAAGTCTGCAGGTGGTGGCTCCAGGTGTTCCTCCTCACTTCTTTCCCATCCCTCTTTCCTCTGTTCTCTGGCATTTGAGTCACTTCCTCTGCAAATCTGAGCATCAGAATCTTTGGGTGCGCTTGTTAAAACACTTATTCCTGGCCCCCAACCCAGATCTTCGGATACCATAGGTGGCATTTGTAATAAGCTCCCAGGTGATAAAGCTCTGGCCTGTGGACTACACTGAGGTAGAGACAATAAATAGACTCACCCGAGAGAGCCAGCCAGAGACTCAGGAGCTGAACAATAAAGTGTTATTCATTAAGATTCCCATCAGATGGCCATTTAGAAATGCAGATGTGGATGCAGTAGTAGTAACAGCGTTAGTAATGGGAGTGGTAATAAGAAAGGCAGCAGTAATAATAGAAATAGTAATAATAGGAAGATTAATAATGAAATCACATGGATAAATAACTAACGACCATTTTTCTTCCAATGTTTTGATGAAAGTCTTGAACATGGTCTTGCCAGAACAGAGACAAGATTTCAGATGCAAAAGTGTTATGAAATCACAAATTTTTAAAAGTGTCTCTTTAAATTGGATGTGTTACATTTTTAGTGAAAGCAAGGTCTTTAAAACCATGCCAGACCTTATGATCCAGAAAAAGCTGTTTCTTTTCCTCCTGCAGGGTAGTATTTATCTTTGGTTAATAGATTCAGCCAAGCCATTTTTATAGCCTCACATGTTATCAAAAGTGTTTTCATTTCTCAATCTAACTACTCCCTTTCTCAACCTATTGCATTAATTCTGCCTTTTGCGGCCAAGTATAAACTGAAGTCTAGATAAAAGGGATTTTTTTTAAACCCCATTTGTGTTTTTCCTTTTTGTGTTAAATTATAAATACGGTAATTGGCGGTTAATGAGATGTAAGTGCTGTAGCCTCAAACTCTTTGGGTTACTCATGTCTCTGCACCATTTTCATCCGGCCCTCATTTTCCACACACCAGACCTATAATTATGCCAAAATTTATCCAAGCCAAAGAATATTTTGTTTTTCCCTGTTGCTGCCTACAGACCGTAAAGCTATGGAATGCGTTGGACCAGCAAAACTAATTTTAATCCCCCCAGTAAAAATTCTGAGGGGCAATTCCATAAGATATTAAAGGTGTGTGAATCATAGATTGCAGAGATCACTGAGGCATCTAGAAAGCATCTGATCTAGCTGTTTGGCTTTAGTATCAACCCCATTTAGCAGATGAATTAGCCAGGGCTAACAAAAGAAATATATGTAAAGCTGGGATTTGAACTAGAGATCTATCTGGTACTAATACCTGTGCCTGGTCGAGGGGGGTTGGCAGCTGTCTTTTGCCTCTCTGAACAGTGTTTTTTTTTATTGCATCATGCTGTTGCCAGCCTACCTTGAACTCTTTCATCACCTGGTTGAATGTTTTTCATAAGCTTTTAAGGCTTCCTTTATATGTGATTTGTACAGAATCGTTTAATGACAGTGTCCTTGCAACAGATATTTTGATGTACCAAATTTACACATGCACCTGAGCAAGAAAGACACATGCATCATGTTTTGTATTAAAAAAAAAAAAACCTCCAGGCCTCATGTTTATGTTGAAAATGTCAGTCTTTGTTTCCACTCAAGTGCTAGTCTTTCTAAAAATGTCCCTCACATTGAAGGACATCCAAAAGGCAGTAACTTATTAGAACCTTGGGTTCAGATTACAAATGGGTTTGGCTAGCTCAGTGTTAAAGTTCAAATTATCTCGGAATTATTTTAAATATTTGTACAGGAACACTGATTCGTTTACTAACGTGTGGCCTCATAACCATCCACTAAAAACCACCTTGGTCTGCGATCATTAACTCCAAGGGGTCAAGTGAGCTCTTGGCAAAGGTAATTTGCTTCGGTGTCTGAAACTGTCATATGTCTTTTCCCTAGGACGTGGAAGAGTTGACTCAGAAAAGGAATTTGAAACAGAGTTTCAGACCGCATTTCATTATTTGTACAGAAGAGTTGAAGAGGAAGTTCTGATGAGGTAATGTCCTCCCCTCTGTGCCCCCTTTTTTGTAGTTAGTATTTCCTAATTATTTACATTTAAACTGGAGACTGGTAGCCTGGTGTACGGGAAGGAATGTCCGTGTGCGAGTCAGGATACCTGGGATTTAGTGCTGGCTCTGTCGGTCAACTCATGGCCTTAGACAAGTCATTTCATTTCTCTGGGTGTTGGTTTCTATAAATGAGATGGTGACGCAAGGTCATTCTTAAGCTGTAGAGTCCGTACATATGTGTGTTCTGCCAAGAGAAGCTAGACTAGCTGGAAGACAACAGACCCGGGTACAGGTGTCCCTGTTTCTAACCCACTGGCCGGGATGGCTGCATGGATGGCAACCTGTGCGTAGTTTAGTTAGAGTCTTGCTGTTACCGTCTTGAAATTCTTCCCAATTTTTGAACAAGAGCCCTGCATTGTCATTTTGTTCAGGACCAAATTATGTAACAGTTTCCGCCTTTTGATAATACGTTCCTCACCATTGTGTCCATCAGCTGAAAGAAGGAGTCATACCTTCAAGTTGGTCATTTTTGCCACCAGTGTACCTTTTGCATAGACTGGGGGGAGCGAAACGTTGGCAAAAATGTATCTGTGGAATCTTTTGGTTATTTTCAATGACCTGACTTTTTGTTGGTCTACATTTTCCTCTTGCCCTACCTTGTCCCGAGGACGGACATTATGCTCTTCTGAGTGGCTCTTTGAACTTCTGATTTCCTCTCTCTTCACAGGTAAACTGTGCATGTAGGCTTCTGTGAGTCATATTTTGGCATCTTTGTAAAGTAGTTTTCCATCCCATTTTTTAACAGATAAAAGTTAATTACTGGTAATCATCACTAGGTATTTTCACCCAGCACCATTCTGACCACTGCTCCGTCATCAGTTATAGTACAATACAGAGTAGGATACCTGTGGCTTTGAATTATCATTTTGTTGTCACTCATTATGTTTCTGGAGAAGCTACCACTACAATAGCATGACCGAAGATAGAGGTGACGAGAGAGATGACTTCTCTACCAGCAACTTGCTTTGTGTTGACCAAATGAGCTCTCCTTCACCTTTGAAAGTAGAATTGCTGTCAATTCAAGTAGGATTGATGAGAGGTCAATTCTTTATGAAAAGAGATCTGCCAAATGCGCTAAAATTAAAATGCACATTCAAGTAGTGGCCAGCTTCATTGTGCCCATTAACCTTGATAAAAATTACTCTGTGATTGCAAGCAACATGTGCTTTCATGTTTTAGTCATTATTGTGTGCCAAAGGATGACCAAGCAAAAGAGACAGAGGAAAGTGTTTCTGTGTACTAGTTGATGGCTGGATGCGGTTTTACATTATGAATTTACTTTCAAATATGTAGAGCAAATCTCTAAGCAACGAAATGACCAATTTACATATCACATCCAAGATTAATAAATTGCTTTGATGGGTCATTCTCAAGTGTCTCTTTTCAAAGCATCAAAAATGCCACGCCAATGCTCAAACACTATTCTTTTCTCTTATAAATCCAACATTCATAATCTCCCAAAATGCTATCTTTTTTGCCCTCAATAAGTTCTACTTACTTAAAACTTGATGACAGCTTTTAATTAATATTAACAGTGTCTAAATGTTCAAAAATATTCAGCTAGACTTTTTCCTTCATAGAACCGAATGCGACTGTCTCTATGTTGAATTCTTTTCTCTTTTTTTTCAAGTTTTTATTTAGATTGCAGTTAGTTAACATACGGTGTGATGTTAGTTTCAGGTGCACAATATAGTGATTCAACACTTTCATGTATCACCCAGTACTCATCACTACCTATATTAAATTCTAATTGCTGCTCTGACTCCTGACTTCTAGATTGGAGAATGTGTCATTTTTATTTTTTAAACCATATAAACGTGTGTTTTGATTAATAGTTATGCTTAAGAATAGGAAAGAAACAACTGATACATTTTTATTTTTTCTTTACTTTTTTTTTTCCTTTTTATAGTTTATTGTCAACTTGGTTTCCATATAACACCCAGTGCTCATCCCATCAAGGGCCTTCCTCCATGCCCATCACCCCCGTCCCTTCTCCCCCACCCCCATCAGCCCTCAGTTTGTTCTCAGTATTCAAGAGTTTCTCATAGTTTGCCTACCTCCCTCTCCCCAACTATTTTTTCCCCTTCCCTTCCCCCATGGTCCTCTGTTAAGTTTCTCCTGATCCACTTATGAGTGAAAACATATGGTATCTGTCTTTCTCTGTCTGACTTATTTCCCTTAGCATAACAGCCTCGAGTTCCATCCACGTTGCTACATATGGCCAGATTCATTCTTTCTCATTTCCATGTAGTATTCCTTTGTATAGATAAACCACATCTTCTTGATCCATTCATCAGTTGATGGACATTTAGGCTCTTTTCATGATCTGGCTATTGTTGAGAGTGCTGCTATGAACATTGGGGTACATGTACCCCTATTCACAACTGATACATTTTTAAAGGGAATGCAACTGGTTATCCAACAGTACCGATAACAAGCAAAACAGCAGTCCCAGGTTCCATTTATAAGTTCCTTCCATCCAATGCATTGAACTCTTCTAGCAATAAATTAACAGTTTTGAAACTGTGAGATTTTAGATGAAAAGGACCAAGGTGAAACTCTTCAAGTAATGAGGTCAATGGTTTAGTTCCATGCAGCCTATTTCAGAGCACCTTTTTGAACCCTGCTTTACAAAGATTCCAAAAATGAGAACCACAGATCACATATAGATCACCTATGAAGAAGAAGAAAAGCAGAAGTTCAAGTATCCACTGAGTAGAGTACAAGGTCCATCCTGGGTGACTTCCAGGAGATGAGGGCACCCACTCAGTGTCTTCTTATAAATGTTGGTCTCTTCTGGAGAGTGACCTGAAAGGTGCCAATTAGCATCATAGTGATAACTCCTGGCAAGTGTCTAGGATGACATGTCATCCAACAGAACACTAGGCAGAAACATCTCTAAGGTAAAGTGAGTACTGTGGCATCTTACCCCTCAATGGGAAACTCAATGTTCCGACTTCTGGCTGCACCTTGGAATTGCCTGGCAAAGAAAGCAAAAAATACTGCGTCCTGCCCAGAGAGATTTGGGTGTAATTGGTTTAGGGTATGGTCTGGGCACTGGCATTTCAGAAGTCTTCCCAGGTGATTTTAAGGGGCAGCCAAAGCTAAGAACCGGGGTATGAAGTGAGATTTCTTTTTAAATATGTAACTGCTTAATGGAGATATAATTCACATGCCATACTACTCACCCATATAATATGTACAATTCAGTGGTTTTTAGTACATACACAGAGTTGTGCTCCCATCACCACAGTCAATTTCATAACATTTCTATCACCCCAAAGACAAATCCATTAGCAGACACTTCCGATTTCTCCCCCACTCCTATCCCAGCCCTAGGCCACCACTAATCTACTTTCTGTCTCTACATTCCTGCCTAATCTAGACATTTCATGAAAATGGATCATATAACCTATGGCCTTTGGTGAGTGACTTCAATCTCTTGGCATCATATTTTTGGGGTTCATATATATTAGACCATGTATCAGGACTTCATTTATTTGTATTGCCAAATAATATGCCATGGCATGGGTAATAACGTATTTTCCTTATCCATTCACCAGTTGGTAGATATTTGGGTTGTTCTAAATTTTGGCCATTATGAATAATGCTGCCAGAAACAGTTTGTATAAGTGTTTGTGTGCACATGTTTTCATTTCTCTTGGCTATTTATCTAGTAGTAGAATTGTTAGGTTATATGGTAATTCTATGTCTAACTTTTAAGGAACTGTCAGACTTTTCCAAAGTAGCTGTGCCATTTTCCCTTCCCATCGTCAGTATATGAGGGTTCCATTTTCTCCACATCCTTGTCAATGCTTGTTATCTACTTTTTGATGATAGCCATTCTAGTGATTATGAAATAGTATCTCTTTGTGGCTTTGATTGGCATTTCCCTCAAAGTTGAGCATCTTTTCATGTGCTTATTGTCCATTTGTAGATTATCTTGGGAGAAATGTGTGCTTTGATCCTTTGCCCATTTTCTAGTTGAGTTACTTGTTTTGTTCATTATTGAGTTGTAAAAGTTCTTTATATGTTCTCGATATGAATTCTTTATAAGAAATATGATTTAAAAAGATTTTCTTCCTTTCTGTGGGTTGTCTTGTCACTGTCTTGAAAGTCCACTGAAGCAGAAAAGTTTTTAATTTTGATAAAGCCCAATTTATTGTTACTTTGTTGCCAGTGCTTTTGGAATTCTATCCAAAAAGGCTTTGCGTGTATGTCAGCCAATTTGACAATAAATTATACTTAATAATGAAATGCAAAAAAAAAGCAAAACAAAACAAAAGTCTTTGCATATCCCAAGGTAATGAAAATATCCTCCTACATTTTCTTCTAAGTGTTTTACAGTTTTAGCTCTTACATTTAAGTCTATAAACTACTTTGGTTAATTTTTCTGTACAGTGTGAGGAAAAGGTCCAAATATATTCTTTTGTATGTGAATATCCCAGGCCGAGTTTTTAAAACAATCTCCTCACTGATAGTTAGTGAACATTTTGCAGAAAGTCAGCTGTGTGATGAACTTCATGGGGCATGCCACATGAGGCATCTATACCAAAAATGAATTGCCACAGAGTTCCAGCTTTTTCCTGCTCTCCCCCAGGGATCCCATACACTGGTTGGATTTTTTTTTTTCTTTTTAATGTTTGTTTATTTTTGAGACAGTGAGAGACAGAGACAGAATGCTAATGGGGGAGGGGGAGAAAGAGAGGGAGATACAGAATCGGAAGCAGGCTCCAGGCTCCCAGCTGTCAGCATAGAGCCCGATGCAGGGCTCAGACTCACAAACTGTGAGATCATGACCTGAGCTGAAGTCAGAGGCTTAACTGACTGAGCCATCCAGGTGCACCAACATTGGTTGAAACACACTTGGACCTACCAAAGAACACATTTACAAAGCCTCTGATCAGTATGCTAAGGTCTCCCTAAT